CTCCAGTACTGGGGATCAAACTCAGGACCTTGTGCTTGCCAGGCAGGTGCAGCACCACTGAGCTAAATCCCTGACCCTTAGCCTTCTATTTATAGCCATGTGGAGGTCTGAGTTAGTCCTTGGTGGGTTGTGTCCCACTCTCAATACCCAAACTTACCCAGACCCCAGACTTCAAGCTGTGGGCTCCCACTCCAGTGGTACTAGCCACATTGTTGAGTAGAAGTCACGGTGAATACTGCCCCACCCTTCTTCCTCCCTCTAACTTACCCCAGGCAACCCAGGAAGAACAATCTTTTTGAGCCTTGATATTTCTCACCTGTGAGTGGTTTCAGGCGATGTTGTGATATGGTGGAAAGTGCCCTAGACTGGGAATCAGAAGACTTAGGTGCTAATACCAGCTCTGCCACTGAGTGAATTATGTGACTTTAGGCAAATTCTGTGAAATGAGCTTGCACCAGATCATCCCTCAGGGCTCCTCTACCTCTGGGATTCTGTGGTTCAGTGATTCTGACCAAGGCCAGAGCCGCCCCCTCCCCTTGGGTGTAGAAATACAGGGTCCAGGATTGGGTCCACTTCCAGAGACTGTCCATCTCTAGCCTCATCACCATCCCCAGGGTAGGGAATTCCTGAACAAAGGAGTGCCACGGATGGCACTTTGAATTTCCTGGTGGTGGCAGGTGTCATATATGGCATGAGGAAATAGTATCAAAGTGTACCCCTCACCAAGGCTGTGATTCTCTGTAGAATAATGGTAGTAACACGTGGGAGAGACATCTGCTAAGCCCATTGAGCTTCTGTCTGGTCAGCAGAAAAGGAAGTCCTCCTGGAGAGGGCTGGGTGATAGTGCTGGTCTGGGGGTCCTGGCGTCTGATTTGAGTTCCCCAGCCTTGATGTGCTGTCAAGCTGTGGCCTCTGTCTGGAGAGTGGAGCAAGAAAGGTGTTGAGGAAAGGGATTGAAATCTAGCCTCACATCTCGAAGTTCTAAGTACCCTGAAATTCTGCCTAGCATGCATTATAAAGTGTGTTTTTAACCAAGGTCTTATTCTTTACCTTCGCTGACTTGACGCTGAGTTTAGTAGCCATCCTCATTAGGTAGATGGGAAAACTGAGTCAGCTCAGGGAGACTCAGTGATTCCCATTTGTACTGCTTGTAGATGTGCAAACTGACCAGATGTTGGGGTGGCAGAAGCCAGGTTGTGTAATAAGGCAGGTCTGGGTCTCAGTGATCTAGGGAAGGCTTCCTGGGGCTGGTCTGTTTGCTTCTCTTTTGACTTGGGATCATTACCACCCACTGCCTCTCCTGCCAATACCTGTCCAGACAGGCTGGAAAGGTAGATGTTAAGAAAATAACAGCAACCATCAGGGCCCAGAAAGTCTTCGCAGGGCCTTTTGGGAGCAGACAGAGGTGTATAGTGCCCTCCCTGCAGCTGCTCACTAGCCAGATGTGTAGGGCTAGTGCTGCAGTGCTTCCTGGTGGCCACAGGCCATACTACAGCCTCTGGCCTGTTTGCCCTCACAGGCTCTTCGACTACCGAGGTCGCTTGTCACCAGTGCCAGTGCCTAGGGCAGTTCCTGTGAAACGACCCCGGGTGACAGTCCCTTTGGTCCGTCGTGTCAAAACTACCATACCTGTCAAGCTCTTTGCCCGCTCCACAGCCATGACCACTGGCTCCACCAAGATCAAGTGTGAGTAACTCTGTCTTCTTCCTGGGTAATTTATATTTTTATCATTAGCAAATAATACAATAACATTTTTTTACATTGGAAAATAGAAAAAGGAACAAATCTCCCACGGTTCTACTGCTCTAACACAGCCAAATATTTTCATGCATTTCTGAGAAGAAAATGCTGACGTTTGAGGAGGAGGGCCTTGGGATGGGTACAGAGTCTAGTGTTGTTACATGGAGCACAGTAAGGAGATAGTATTATCTTTTCCTCTACTAAGGACGAGGCCAGGACTACACAGCCCCATTACTCTACATTATTTCTGATGTTCACACACTGTAGTCAGGTACTCAGGAAATCCGACTATAAGAGAGTCTCCAAAGAGACTCTTACACACTGTAAGATAAACTCCAACTTATAAACAGAGACACATGTTCTTGCTGAGGTTCTCGGTCCCTTTCAGATTAAGAGGTCTTGGAGAGGAATAGCCAGATTCAGAAGCATGGGCTAGTCACTCTTGGGGTGGCCTCCAGGCAGTCTAAGAGGCCTTTCCCCTGGCCAGGAAAGGAACAGCAAAAATCTGTCTTTCTGATTGACAGAATAGGACTGGGGTTTTGTTAGATTTAAGCCCCCAAGTGACAGCCCTGTCCCTCAATTCCCAGTAAAGAGCAGTGAGCTGCAGACCATCAAGACAGAACTGGCACAGATCAAGTCCAACATTGATGCTCTGTTGGGCCGCTTGGATCAGATCGCGGAGGAGCAAAAGGCCAACCCAGGTCAGCCTTTGAGGGTCCTCACCCAGCTCAGTGACAGGGCAGAGTATGGGGTGGGGGGGTTAGAGCCTGGGGTGGGGGTCAGAAGCTGGGGTGGGGTTCATATGCTAAAGTGGCCTTCAATCCCAGAGCCCGCAGATCCCAGTCTCCTTGGACCCATGGTGCTGAGACCAGCTTCTGCCAAGGTGCTGGGCAGTTGCTCTGGGCTGAATTTTAGTCCCTCTTCCTTTACCCCAACCCTCAAGATGGCAAGAAGAAAGGCGACAACAGCAGTGGTGCTGGTGGTGGCAATGGCAGTGGCAGTGGCGGCAGCGGCGGTGGTGGTGGTGGTGGTGGCGGTGGCGGTGGCAGCGGCAGTGGCAGTGGCAGTAGTGGCGGCGGCGGCAGCAGCAGGCCACCACCACCCCCAGAGGACACACCTTCTGAGGCAGGCACACCCCAGGAAGAAGCCCAGATTCGAGACGACGGTGATGAGGAGGGGCTGCTGACACATAGCGAGGAAGAGCTGGTGAGGGCTGGTTAGGGGCGTGAGTGAGAGGGGCTGGGACTGGACTTTGCAATCTAGTGGCAGGAGGGCAATGGGGGGACTCTAAGCTGGTTAGTTTCCCTGTAAGCTCTCTCTCCCTTCTCCTTCCCAGAGGTTCTAGTCCTATGGTGTGGAGGGAAAGTGAGCAGGGAAAATAGGGTTGCCTATTTGATAATCACTCAAAAATCCCACTAAGAACTGAGGCAGACCTAGGTGAAGCCCAGGGTCTGTTTTGGCTTCTGTTTTCCACATGGCCTAGAGAAGGGCAAAAACTTACATTCCAGGAGAGCACACAATCTGCGAAGTTCTGGAGGGCAGGACTAGGGTTGCTTAGGGGATCCCACAGGGAGGAAGTGAGCATCAGTTCCACAGGAGGATTTTCTTCCTTTTTTTTTTTTTGGTACCGGGGATCGAACTTGGGACCTTGAGCTTGCAAAAGCAGGAGGCAGAAACACTGAGCTAAATCCCCGGCCCCCACAATGACCCCTAAAGGTCGTTGCTGCTCAAGTATGAAGCAGACCATCTTATAAAGGAGCAATCTCCTATCCATGTTGCACATGTTCAAGCTGAGTCTGGGGAGCTTACATTGAGTGGGAGGGTGGATTAGACTCTTGAGTCTGTAAGATATTTGCTGTATATGTGCAGCTTGTGTACTTAGTGAACACCTGTTGAGCACCAGCAAACTTGCTAACTTCGTTAATCTTAACAGACCTGTATTACTGTTCCCACGTTTTACCCCATGAAAAAACTGAGGCTGTGAAGGGTCAAATAGCTTGCTCAGGGCTTTATAGCTAATAAAGCCATGCCAGAGTTGGAGCCCAAACTTCTCCATTGAGTCTGGACTTCATACTTTTCATCACTGGTGGGTTCTAGCAAATAGACAGATGGGCTCATGGCCATGCCAATCAAGTCCTCTGCATGTCCAGATTGTCTCTTTCTTTGAACCTAGCCTGGTATTTCTACCTTATTCTCTTGGGCTTAGTAGTCTCCATAAAGTCCCTAATTAAGACTTAGATGCTCCAAAGATAGGGAGCCCACCAGTCTCCAAGGCTTTCAGCCTACTCTGGTCCATAGAAGTGTGCTCTCTGCCACTTCTACAACTGTCTGGCCCCTTCTGTCTCCTATGGGGCCTTTGAGGAGTCCAACCCAGCCTTAGTCATTTCCCTTGGCTGTCCCTCCTCTTTCAAACTGGGTCCTCCAGATGTGCTCCAGGCCTAAGACCTCCTGTATAGGTGGCTCAGGGAAGAATTCAGAGCTTGCAGTGAGTGATGTGCGGTTTCTGCTTGCCTTCTCCTCAGGAGCACAGCCAGGACACAGATGCGGAGGATGGGGCCTTGCAGTAAGCAGGTATGGTGGTCCTGGGAGCAGAGGGAGGGAAGCAGTGAAGTGAAGGGTATCCTTTTTCCCTGAAACAGACCTGGTAAGCTAGCGCTATACTCAGGAGTGAAGGTCCTTCCACCTGTAGCCATTTTGCCACATTCCTCTGTGGCAGGAGCCTGACAGGTGGAGGACCAGGTGCCATCATACAGTGCACAGCTAGGCCCACCCAGTAAGAGTTCTCAGCACACTCGGAGCCATGTTGCTTTTTTTTTTATCCTTAAGGAGCTCCTTGCCTGAGAGAAAGACAAACTGTTGCAAACCAGTGTGAGCAGGACAATAGAGGGAAGCTCAAGTGAACAACCTACTCATGATTGATGGAGTGGCATTCTGCACTGAGGGAATAGCCTTAGCAGAGACATGGTGCTCTGACAGTCCTGGGAGTGTGGTGAGGCCAAGAGCCTCCTGTGCTGTATGTAGTCTACCTCTGCACAGTAGTGAGAAGACACTGTTTGTCATCACAGGGTGATGATTGTGAAGTATGTTCTGTGCTAGGCTTAGGGGCTTGGACTTGATCCTGTTGCGTGGAGAAAATGCCCTGTGTGACAGGAGCTACACCTTCTTTATCTGATTTCATCTTCAACTCTGCTGCAAGGTTAGGATTGTGCCAGTATTACAGACATGGAAACTGAGGCACTGAGGGTGCAGGGAGATGTCATATATCTCACAGGATCCCAAGGTAGTGATAGGTGGAACTTAGGTTTGAACCCAGTGGTGTGCAGCCTCAAAGCTCACTATCTGGCCCCTGTCCACCACCTTGTACTGCTCTAATCTAGAAGAAAGCCAGGTCATGCCTAGCTCTGCCCACGGTCTGACCCATTCCCTTGGGGCCATGTTCAGAATAAGATGGGATTGGTAGAAGAAAATCTCAAAATACCAGTGCTCCCAGGGGTGTCTTGATACATGACCCATTCATGCTGTTAAGTACTCCATCAGCAAAAGCTTCCAGAACAGTTTAGAAAATTCTTCATGTGTAGTCTTTCCTCTTAGAATTTTATGACATGTATTACCTGGGAAGCTAAGTTTTACTTTGGAAGCTAGTTCACAGATAAGTGTAAGGGGCTTGCTCAGGTGAGGACATGGAGGCTCAGGAAGGGGTGGAGGCTCTCTATGGTTCCATAGCCAAAAACGTGATCATATTACAAGGCCAGAGCCGTAGTGCAGGCATATCTGTCTGCAGACATCATTCCACCTTCTTTCCTACCCCGGGTCCCTTCCTGTGAGCCTTAGTCTCTTCTTTGTCTCTCTGTTTCTCAGCCTGACAGGAGCAATGGCCACCAGCAGGAGAAGGGCATCACTGTCCAAGGCCTCAAGCCAGGCACCCACCCCCTGGATGCCAACTTGTAGCGGGTACCAGAGGAAAGCTGGCAGCAGGCACTCCTTTCCCCCATGCATCCCAGGCCAGTGCCACATCTTCTGCAGGTGGAGTTATCGGCTACCCCTTCCCCATGACCCTCCCTGTCTGTACTGTCCAGGCCTGAGGGCAGAGCACAGAGATCTCCCCACACTCTGCCTTCCCTCCCCAGGACATTCCTAGGCTTAGGGTTTTTCTATAGGTTTGGAGGGGGTTGGTATAGGACGGAGACCTTAACAATAAAGAGATTGGATCCAGCCTGTTTTGAGATGAGATGGTTTGTTTTTTGCATGATAGTATCCTGGCCCTTCCGCCCACTATAAAGCTGGTCTGATGAACCACTTCTGTCTTGACCTTCTTTACTTCTCTCTCCCACAGGACACTGTCTAGGGCAGTGATGGCAAACCTTTTAGAGTTTTTAATGATAAACAGCCTGCTGCAACATGGGTACCATAGGTTCGCCACCACTGGTCCAGGGTATCTAATACTCATCTGTACGGGCCTTAGTTTCCTCAGCTTAAATGGTAAAAAGTGGCCATTGGGAGTGCCAGAGAGGGTCAGATGTGCTAGTGCCCATGAGTGTTCCTTGCTGGCTGAAGTGCCAAGTAATTGTGACCCATTTACCATCCAGTAGTAGATTGTAGTCTGTACTTTTTCTTAAGCTTCTCACTTAAGTCTGTGCCCACCTCTAAAATGATTTTAGAATCTGCCACTCCCTCTCCCTTCTGTTCTGTCCTGCCTTAGGACACCATGATTTTATTCACTTAGACTTGTTCCCTCACCAACTTCTCCCATTTCGCACCACCCATCCATAGTGGTGTGACCGGCCGGCCTGCCTCCCTCCCTCTTCCCTTTCTTCCCTCCCTTTCTTTTTTTCCTTTTCTCTCTTCCTCCCCTCCCAGAGGTTACACAGACAGAAAAGGGCTATGAAGGAAGCAAAAACAGAACACAAAGTGGATTGGTCATTTCAAAGTTAACTTCCCCTTTTTGGTCAGGCTCTCCTTTAGATACGTATGTAGCCAAAATTTAGGCATTTGTGGTACTCTGAGTCACCCTTTTTGGGGCCTTCTAAAGATCTCAACATAGCCTCATAGATATAGAGCCCTCATAATCACACATTTGTTTGAATTTCAGCCATTCTCACCAGAGAGACATATTCAATAAATGGCTATATTTGAACATTAAAACTCTTTAGGAGGGTACAATGTGGCAGGAGGACTACTTTTGTTAAGAGGATAATACCAGGTTTGGAGTATGCTTCACAGTCAGGGTCTCTATGAATCAAACCTAATGAAATCAAATAGATTGAAGAAGTCAGGGGAGGAATCTGTTTCAACCAGGTAGTATGTTTGTTAATTATTACAATTGAGTCTCTACAATACCTGTTGTAGTTCTATGTGGAATAAGAAGTGTCAGAAACTGCAGATTCCTCCCTATTCGGGTAGTAGTTAGCAATTTTAGCATCCCAGGAATGGGTAAGAGCTGGGGGTATAGCTCAGTGAGCACTCATCCTGAATGTACATGGCCCTGGGTTTGACCCACAATACCACCACCCCCAAAATGAGAAGAGGGCTAACTTCAGTTGCATTAGGGATGTAGATAGTCTATAAGTAGACTAAAGACCTGGAAAGATCTGGATTTGATATAACCCACAGAAACTACTGAAACTCACATAGTTGTAGCCACCAGTTCTGTAGCATACCTTCCACCGAGGCCTTGACTGTAGGTTTTAGTGGAGGATGAAGGCTGGGCATGGGATGATGCTCAGGCTCACTGGGGAATGGAAACTCCCAGGGAGGCCTGTTGCCTTCTGTATCTACTACAAGGGAGAGGGAATTTCTTGGGTGCTCTGCCAAGTCTTTTACATAGATTCCATTATAGCCCTGGTAATCCCTTAGTGGGGTAAATATATTCACCCCATTATAGGTTGGGAAACTAAGACTTAGGTTGAATAACTTGTCCAAGCTTATGTCGCCTTCTTGAAAGTGGATGCATGATGCACATCCCCAGTTCCATCATGTGACTAATGAGAATGCTTGATTTCCATAAGCCTCTCCTCGCTCTCCTCCTCTATGCACTCTTCAGTTTTCCTGACTGCCTGTGTGCCTATACCTCTACACCCTTTTACAGTACATACTCCCTAGATAACCTAACCCATGGCTTCAGATTTCGTTATCTCTATTCTTTCCATGGGCACCAAGGGGATGTGTAATCAGATACCCACTGAGCAGCTGCATCTGCATGTCCACAAGGAACTCAGTTGAGCCCTGTCTTGTTCAGCTCAACTATTTTTTCATGAATCCCCATTTTGGGGATCAGCACACTATCTATCCTGTTGCCCACATCAACATCTTCCACTTCTCCCTCTCGAGATGTTAATTTGTCCATGGCGTCTTGACTCTTAACACCTTTACATCCCACTGTTAGATTAGACCTTTCTCATGTCTTACTTGGTATTACTTCTGTAATGACCTTATCTGCCCTGCTGCTTACTTCCCACCAGCCTTTGCCTGTCACTGCTAGAGTTCCTCACTACCCACAGAGTAAGATCCAGACCCTTGGCATGGCATAGAAGCCCTCCTTTCTCTGGCTTAACACTTCTGAAATTCATCCTCTAATCTTGGCCCACAAGGAACTAAGACTTGTGCCATCTGACTTAAATGAGCTTTTACATATGTTATTGCCTCTATCCTGAATGCTTATGTCTTCTCCCTCTGGCTAATTCACACACCTTCCTGGCCTGATGCACAGCTGCCCCTCCATGTGCTCCTTCTATCACAGCTCTTACCACATTATGTTTACCACTGGTTTGCTCTGTTGTTACCACTAGATTAAGGTCTTGGAAGACAGAAACAGCCCTGAACTGCAGCAGGCACTTCTGAACATGACAGCTGTGTGGTAGCACTGCAGTGGTTAAGAGCACTCTGAAGCCCAAATTCCTGGAATTGCATTCTGGTGGTACTTGTTACCTTGGATGAGCTGCTTACCCCAAGACTTCAATGTTCTCATCTGTAAAACAGGACAATAGTAACATAATTCAGAGGGTTGCTATAAAGAGGGTCTGGCATACAGTAGACTTATTATTGTGTAAGAATGGCCCAGGTTCTGAGCCATAAAGAGGCATGTCATAGTACAGTGTAATTTGGGATTGGAAAAAAAAAGTATAAATTCTCAGAAGCCAAAATAGTTACATCATATGTTGCCATTCAAGGTATAATTAGGTTTGACCCATTTTCTGATATTTTGGTCTTGATTTGGCTTCTGGCACATTTAAAAGCTTATGAAAATCTATAGCTGATGAATAGTTTTAAAAGATGCCCATTAAAATAGTCAGATCACATGAATATCCATTAATACTTACCCTTCAGAACAGCTGGTCCTCCAGTGGCTTCAAATGTAGTCATAAAATAAGCCAACTTTAAATGAAGGAGTGATTGTTACAAAGTTCTTGGAGTATCTTATCTGGGGAAGGACTGAAAGGGTAGGACCCACAGCAGCTACTAGGGCCCTAATAGGTGTTTGGTCCTTTCTTCTCTCACAAATAATTCACCATTAACAAAACCCCAGGGACTATGCTTCTGTTGCAAATCCTTCCAAGTTTGGTGTCCCTATAGCCAAGGGTAGCAGGGCTTATTAGGTTAACTGAGGCAGCCATCCCAAGAATAGCTCATTGTCACCATAAAACAGCACCGTTTATAGTTCCCAAGGTTTAGTGTGAAAATCACACATTTGGACAGGCCAAGTGGTACCACCTTTTATAAAAAGGACATGGTTACAAGTATTACAGGCCAAAAAGTCTCCTGACTGCTTTCCCTGAAATTCAGCCTTGGAAATCAAGCGTAATAAACCCTTCAACAGAAGGAGAACAATTCTTATGTGCTGGGCAGACCTGGATTAACCATTACCTCTTAGAGACAAGTCATTTTTCTTTTTATAGATGAGAACATAGGGTGATAGGAGAGGGTTGCCCTTCTAGATGTTCAAAGCCCACACTCAGCATTACCAAGAATTAGCTTAACAAGGTGTTGGGCACATGCCTGTAATGCTGCCTACATGGGCTGAGGCAGGAGAGCTGAGGCCTTGGCAGCTTGGCAAGACCGTTTCAAAGTTTAAAAGGGGTCAGGTATAGCTCAATGGTTACTGACTTTTATAAAAGATACACTAACTTGGGGGAAATAATGGTCTTGACACTAAAAGGCTATATGGTGGTAGGGCTGTATTTCATCTCCCCTAAAACACAATATCATATACTACAAAACCTAACTAATAACATATTACTATATCCAATGTTCTGTTCAAATGTGAAATCAGCATTTGACCGGCAAAGGAACTGGATGAGGAACTCGTGTACAGCTTAGCGGCCTTGTAATACCACCCTGTATATTCCTTCAGGCTTTCCAGCCAACCATTTTTTTCTGCAGAATATGTATCTGAGATGTCTGGCAGAGGAAGGGAAAAGTGGCTGTCTGCATGTTCCATACTCCTTCAGAAACTCATTTAAGTAATTACACAACTTCTACAACTTTCTAGGCACTGCTTCTCTCTCAGCATGGGATACACAAGTAAAAATCTGTGCTAGGGGAAACAATGTATTGCATACAGTGGGCAGGGACCTGAAGTGTGAAGAGTGAGCCAGATGCGAACCCCCGCCCCCACTGGGGGTGAAAAGTAAGGACTTAACAGTATTTTCTAAAGAGCAGAACTGTGAATATATATTTGTTGAAGAAACAGCACATCAGCATAATAAACTTTCCTTAGGCAGTTATGAAACTTGTTTACCTCTACTTTTCTCTACCATAGAACTTCTCTTTTATTTGCTTTGTATAATTAGGGATGGTCCTCAACACTTTTTTTTGGTACTGGAAATGAAACTCAAGACCTTGTGCTTGCAATGCAGGTGCAGTGTCACTGAGCTAAATCCCTGACCCTATACTTTTTTTTTTTTAAGACAGGGTGTCTGCAGTTCAGGCTGGCCTTGTAATCACTGTAGCCCAGGCTGGCCTCAAACTGGTGATCCTGCCTTAAGCCTCCTGAATGCTGGGATTACAAGCATGTGCCCCTACACCTGGCTTTTTTCCCCTAAGACACTGAACTGAAAACGAGAAGTTGAATTCTCTTCTCACAGGTAGAATATGGCTCTTAATCAGAAATACTCAACTGCCTTTACACTTTGTCACTTCATAGCAAGCCACAGATGGTGACAGGCAGTGGAGATGTTAGAGGTTGGTGTTACTATGTGGGATGTAGAGCAACCCTC